GCTCTGGGGCTGAGCCCGAGAGATTTGGGTGTAGACGGCGGCGGGGTTTGGGCTCAAACCAGAGTCTGCACCAGGGATTCCGTGGCAGTGTAGACACAGCAGTCGGGAGCCATTTGGGTGCATGTTTGGCTGCCTCTCGAGGCCAAGCGAAAAGCATCCACCCAGGATCCTTGCAAAGCTCTACGATTCTCTGCATCTTGTGGTCTTCAAAGTATTTGAAGGCTTCAATATCTGAGCTATAGGTGAGAGGATTATTCTCGGAGGGGTGGGTGAGATTCTGTGGCCTGCACTGTGCAGGGGGTCAGACTAGATGATCATAATGGTCCCTTCTGACCTTAAAGTCTATGAGTCTATTACCCCCGAGCAGCGGGACTCCAGAGCCAAGCAAGACGGGGGCTCCTGGGGCCAGGGACCTGGCACCTGTGGTGGTGGGAGCTCTGGTCATGCAGGACTGGGCCTGGCCACCTGCCGGCTGAGAGGGGAAGGCGCTGGGTCCCGGGGAGCGAGCCCCAGCCCTGTGGCTGGACGTGGAGCTGGAGTGCCTGGGTAATGGGTGGGAGACCAGGAAGAGCCTTCCGGGTTGGCCGAGGGAGCTCCCCGCGCCGGCACTGCCAGCAAGCCAGCAGCCTTGGGCCTGGCCGGGGTAGTTGAGTCCTGCCTCCCCCCGCTAATGTCCCCTCTCCCCCCAGCACCTGTACAACTCGGCTGCCTTCAAAGCCCGGACGAAAGCCAGGAGCGTCCGGTGAGGGCCGCTCCCGCCCCAGCCCACAGACCCGGACCACTGTGACGCGGGGGGAGCCGGGGGGCGTGCAGCCCTCCCTGCTCAGCGGCTCCGCCGGCCCCTCGCCCCAGCCCTGGGGCCTTTATGCTGCACAGACTCGCATTGAAACGGCCAGGCCGGTTGCCCCGGCCAGACCAGGCGCCAGGGCCTGCTTTTATTTTTTTAATAAAAAACCTCAGCGGGGTGGGGGGGGCTCTTCCTGCCTTCAGCTGGTGATATTTCCCTGCCTCGTGCTGCTGCCCGGGGCCGGCCCGGTGCTGAGCCCTGGAACTGCGTGTGCTCCCTGCCCGGCTGGGCTGGCGAGATTGACGTGACTGTACGTGTGTGGGGGGGTCGCCCCTGCCCCCGCCCCCATACACCCATGCTTGCACTATGCCCCCCGCCCAGGGGCACAGCAGCAGTGGGCGGGTGCGTGGGGCCAGTGCCAGGAGGGTGGGACATGGGGGGTTTGCCCAGGGCGGGCGGAGAGGGAGGTGGCTGCTATGCTGGCCCCAGTGTTCCCAAGGGGGAGGGTGACCAGCAGTGGGTGGAAAATCTGACAAAGGCTCCAGGATCAAGCCTGGGCCTAGCCCCGGCTGAGCCTCTAACCCCTGGGGGCGGGTTCCTGGGGCTGTCAGCCATGTCCCCTCTTGCCTTGCTTGGCAGGTGCTGGGGGGGGGGGGCGGTAAAACCAAGAAAAAGTCTCCT